GGCTGGTCAGTGTGTCCTCACTGTTACCTGTCACTGTCACTGTCGTCGTTACTGTGAGAGCGCTGGCCAGGCACTCAGTGATAGCCAAAGGGTGCAGCCAGGAGCTCACAGTAATCCACATGGTTGCTGCTTGGCCTCTGTGCCTCAGTTTCCTCCTCCGGAATGTAGGCTCAACAGAGCAGGCGGCCACGATTGAGTGCTGGCAGGTCACCTCGGGTGGCTCCAACCCACTCTGGGCCAGCGCTTCCCCCACCCCCCACTTAGGGACACTCGTCAGTCTTATTTCTGGGACAGCCGAGGCCGGCAAAGTCCCCTGTGGGGCTCGGCATCCAGTTGTGCTCAGCCCCGGCCTCCCCCACCTGACAGGATGTCCCATGACTGCCTCCCACGGGCCCCCTTCCCGGCAGGGTCTGGGTGCCCCAAACTGAGATCACTTCCCTCCGGGAAGCCACCCCCAAAGGGAGGGGCTCCCTGCCGGGCCCTGAGGCTGCCCTGCGAGGGAGGGAGGAACGGTGTGGTGGGCTGTGCCCTCTCTGTGCTCTCTCTTAACTTTTTCCTAAGGCCAACAGCTGGGGGCTGAGCCACCCAGACACCCCACCTCTGGGTGGCAGAGATGGTGGGGAGGTTTCGGGTCAGGTCCATGTGCTTGGGGCAGGAACCCGCACAACTAAACAAGTGACCCCAGGTGAGGTAGTGAGCTCCCTGTCACTCTGGGTATCCTAGACTGAGCTCGGAGAACGCTGATCGTTGTTCAGCTGTTGTGTTTTCTCCCTGTGGTCTCCATTCCTCTCCTGGCCTGGCCTCTGTTCTCCCTGATGCCCTCGATAGCTGCGGCCTCCAGGTTTCCTGCCTTCTTTTTTCTGTCTCTCAAACTCCTATCCCTGTGAGCGCAGCCCCCTTTACCACAACCCTGGGCTCAGTGCTGGGACTTGGTGTCTCTGGTCTCTGTGACTCTCCAGCACCTTCTCCCCCTCCTACTGTGTCTCCCTGCCCCTCCAGGCCCCAAGCAGCCGCCCCCACACATCTCTGGGGCCCAGCCCCGCTGTCCAGCACCAGCTGACATCTGGCCAGAGTCCCTCTCCGGCCTCTCAGCTGGACCGAGGTTGGAATTTTTGAACCAAACATTCTTAAGAAACGGGGGAGAGGGAGGATGGGGGAAGGACCAAGGCAGACACAGAAAAGCAGGCTCGGAAGCGGACCTCGCTTGACACAAACTCCGAACTGCTGTGGGGAGCAGATCCGAGGCCAGCCCGGCTCCTTGAGGGCAGAGGCTGCGGCCACTCGAGGACAGGGCAGAGTGACCCGCGCTGCGTCCAGGCCACGGTGCTGCGGCCCTGCCGTCTCCCAGGCGGCGCCAGCCCCTCTTAGCCCCGCCGTTGTGCAGAGAATCTAGGCCAAGGCCGCGGTGGAGGAGAGAGCACCTCGCAGGCCGCTCTCTGGGAAATCTCGAGCTCCAAATCCAGGCAGGCCAGCCCGGGCCAGCGAGGTGGACGGATGGGTAGCCGCGGGCACGGCGGGTGCAGAGCCCAGCGGGGAGGGCGGCAGCCGCCCTAATTACTCCAGCTCTCCTGGCTCCAATCTGGTTTCAAAAGGACTCCAGGGACACGAGCTTTAATAACTACCAGTAAACAGGCAGGAAAATCGATACGTGGTAAATGGAGCCCCAGAGCAGAGCCGGCCAGCCCAGCTCCCATAAGCCTTTGTGGGAAGGTCAGCCAAAGCCCTGGCCTTTGGAGCCTTCCTGTGCCTGGACTCAGGTGCCCTGGCCGTGTGGCCCTGAACTCCCTCCCCTTTCCTCCTCTCTGATCTCTTAGGTGCCAAGTAGGGTGTCCATTTCAGGGGCGGCCACCTCCTGTGCACCCAGCTTTGTTCCTGGTCCTGGTGGAAATGCCATGGGGTCAGACTTGGTCCTTCTCCTCCCCAAAGTCATCAACAAACAAGAGAGAGATGGAACACAGCAAAAGTTAGTGACAGTCAGGGATAGATACAAAATAAAAAGAACTGTGTGAGCCCACAAGCACCTGCTGGAGGAGACAGATGCACAAAGGGCTTTGCTGGTTGAATAGGAGTTCATCACATGAAGCAGATGATGTAACAACAGCAGCCTTTACTACCATTCACTGATCACTTGCTGCATGCCGGGCTCCGCTGGGCGCGCTTGCACACGTGTTAGATTGTTTTGTCCCCCAGCAGTTCTTCGGATAGGGATGAGTCCCCCACAGACAAGGACATGGGAGCTAGGATGTACAAGCAACCCCAGACACTTCCCTTGGCCTTCCCCACCTGAGCTGCCCCGCCCCGCTCGAGTTGGTGCACACGACGGGTAAATAGGGCCTGTTTGCAGCTTCTTTCTGTGCTCCTGATGGCTCCCAGGGAGCTCCGCACATCAGATGTGAAGTTCATGACCCTGCCTTTCACAGATGGGGAAACTGAGGCCCTGAGAGGGGAAGACTAGGCCGCAGGAGCAAGCAGGAGTGGGGTCCAGGGGTTCCTCTCTAGCAGATCCCCTCCTGGGCCCGCACTGGGAGCAGTACCACCATCGGGAAAGGAAATCAATACGCTCACCCAGTTACAGTGATAAACCTGCCTCCAGCCACGGCTGCCCAGAGGCCCAGGGCTGGGAGCCCGGGGGTCTTCATGTGATTGGCTGGGACATTATGGGAGCCCAGAGACCTTATTTCTGTGGCTGGGCAGTGGCCCCCACCTACCCACACTTCCCAGTGGGCTTCTTACCTGAACAACGGGCTGTGTACCCCGTCTCCCCAGCTGTCGGCGCCTGGGCAGTGGAGAGGGACACAACAGTCTATAGCCTGGTTTTCAGACAGAGCAGACAGGGGACAAGCTCGTCCGGCCCTGAGTGGGGACAGTCAGACTGGCCTGTGGTCAGGAGGTGAGATGGACTCCCCAAGGTGAGGTGGGTCCCCTCCCCCACCTGGCTGCAGATCCTGGGCCGGCCAGCGAGGGCGGGGGGACACTCGGGTGTGGAACTGGCCCTGTGCTGTGAGGACCTACTGTGTGCAGGCAGCCAGCAGTGAATAAGACCCCTGGTCTCCCACGTGTGGAGACCAGATGTAGAAAGCTTGCAGGTTCAAATGTGCCGGGCTGCATGCAAGCCCAGGAGAAAAATAACCTGGGTGGGAGGGCAGCGGTGGGGAGGCAGGTGGCTTAGAGGGGTGAGCTGTGGAGATGGCCCCAAAGAACACAGAACTCCAAGAACACCTGGGCATGGGCGGGTCATGTTCCAGGCGGAAGGCACAGCCAGTGCAAAGACCCTGGGGCTGCACAGGATTCGAGATGTTTGGCGAGCTGCAGGGAGCCGGAGTGGCTGGAGTACAGTGAGTGACAGCAGAGTGACGATCATTGGGAGAGGGTGACAGGGCCACACAGCACCGGGTTTTGTAGGTCACTCTGAGGACTCTGGCTTTCACTCCAGGTCGGGGGAGTCACGGAGGAGTTTGAGTGGAGGAGGTGTGTGATCAGAGGGGCTGAGCAGGAGCCCCCAGCTGCCACGTGGGGACGGACTGTCTGGGCAGGAGGAGACAGTGGTGTGGACCCGGGTGAGGAGGGAGTGTGGGGAGAGGTGTGTCACACACACCTGTGTCGGAGGTGGAGCTACTGGCTTGCTGCCGGGCTGGGTGTGCAGCACAGGGCAGGGGGTCCAGGCCACGTCCCAGGTTTTCAGGTCTGAGGAAGGACGGGGAACGGGGAGACAGGTGGGGTGGATCCCGGCAGCAGCGGAAGAGTAGGTTCTGCCTGGGCTGCGCAGGGTTTGGGGCACCTGTCGGCGCTCCAAGGGGCGGCACCTGGCCCTCGGGAGAAGAGGCGGCTGGCAGTGGTGGGCTTGGGGGTCGTCATAGTAGAGGCAGCCCAGATCTGGCCTGTCCTGGCCACACCCCAGCGAGGAAGGTCTGCTGGGCCCCGTTTTAGAGTTGAGAAAGCTGATGCTAATGGACAGTGAGTGGCCGGGCCACAGCCTGAGAGCTGGAAAGTCAGGGGCCGGGGCTTGAGCGAGGTCTGTCTGCTGCTCAGCCGGCCCTGGGGGATTCACACAGCGTCCTCCCCACTGTCCCAGGGTGGGTGTGGATCAGCAGCACCCACATTTTCCGGATGAGGTCTGGGGAGCTCCGGGGACTTGCCCGAGGCCTCCTCTCTGCAGAGGTGTGAAATGCACCCCGCGAAGCGTCTCATGCAGCAGCCCCGCGGCCCAACACACGCAGAAAGGCTGTGAGGGCCTGCAGCCTGCAGCCAGCCCGGGTCCCCACTAGGTACCTCGGGGTCCCCCCGCAATCAGAGCACCTAAACTTGGGCCGACAAGAAGCGGTGGTGGGGAGAACCGGGCCCTAATGCCAACCTTGCAGTTATTGTGGGGCGTGCACTAAGTGTGGGCCCTGCACAGGGCAGGCTGTCGGTCAGCAAGCGCTCACAGAGCAGAGGTGGACCGAGAAACCAATGCAAAAATACTAAAGCAATGCGGGGTCCGAGTCAAGGAGCCACAGGCTGGAGGATTAGCGTAACCCAAGCCGAAATGGACCCGAGTGCGGACCAAGCGGCCACCCAGGAAGCACACCCTGGGCCTCAGCAGGGGATAAAACCCACCGGTGGGCGGGGGGCAGCCAGGGCCACAGTGAAGGGGCTCGCGTGAGGCAAACCAGCCAGGGGGCAGGGCAGGGGAGGAGTTGGGGGGCAGCGAGGATTGTAAACAGGAGGGGTGCCCTCCTCCACCCAGGTGGGACCCCAGGGTGGGGCGACTCTCCCGCTGACCCCGATGTCTCCGCCCCTTGCCGGCTCCCACCCTGGGCCCCTCTGCTGACCCTGCACCCCGTCCTGGCGCAGGGACCCCCAGCCCCACCCCGCCTCCGCGCCGTGCTGACCCTTCTCCCCCACCCGTGTCCCCTGGACGCTGCTCCCCTGGGGGCCCCGCTGACCCCCGACCCCGGTGGTGCCCCCCATGCCGCGCCCCACCGGCCCGTCCAGCTGATGGCCCTCCCCGGTCCCCACAGGCACCATGCGGCCAGTGAGGCGCAACTTCTACGACCCGTCGTCGGCGCCGGGCAAGGGCATCGTGTGGGAATGGGAGAGCGACGGCGGCGCCTGGACGGCCTACGACATGGACATCTGCATCACCATCCAGAACGCCTACGAGAAGCAGCACCCGTGGCTCGACCTCTCGTCACTGGGCTTCTGCTACCTCATCTACTTCGATAGCATGTCGCAGATGAACCGCCAGACGCGCCGCCGCCGCCGCCTGCGCCGCCGCCTGGACCTGGCCTACCCGCTCACCGTGGGCTCCATCCCCAAGTCGCAGTCCTGGCCCGTGGGCACCAGCTCGGGCCAGCCCTGTTCGTGCCAGCAGTGCGTGCTGGTCAACAGCACGCGCGCCGCCTCCAACGCCATCCTGGCCTCGCAGCGCCGCAAGGCGCCCGCCGCGCCGCAATCGCAGCCGCAGCCCCCTCCGGGCGGACCCCCGGGCGCGCTCGCCGTGCGCCCCAGCACCACCTTCGCCGGCGCCGCGCTCTGGGCCGCGCCCGCCGCCACCACCACCGGTCCTGCCGAGCCTGCGCCGCCCCCCGCGCTGCCCCCGAGGAGCCCGAGCGCCCCCAGCGGTGCACCCACCCCGGGTCAGAACAACCTCAACCGGCCTGGACCCCAGCGTGCGGCCGCCAGCGTGAGCGCGCGAGCCTCCATCCCGCCAGGGTAAGACAGGGCTCGGAGAGGGGACCTGGGGTCACCGCGGCAAGGGCCAAGTCGGGTAGGGGTGGCAGTGCACTTAGGGCTGGGGGCAGAGAATTGCAGCGAGCGAACGGGAGGCCCGGGCCCAGCGTCCTGAGGGCTGTGCACAGGGCGTTAGCTGACCGCTTCAGCGCACTCCTATGAGCGCGCAGGGACCCTCTGAGGCGAGTCCCTGCATCCAGGTCTGCAGACCTCGAGCTGAACCCCTGCGCTGAAAACTTCCCCAAGAACTCAAAATTCAGGGCGGGCCGTGCCAGCAACACCAACCGCGGTGCGGATTTCGTATTTATTGTGTGCTGAACCCCAACAATTCCTCATGGTCCGGGGGGGAGGCTGGGTCGGTCTGAGGGCCACCGCGGGGGGCCTGGGGACCCGCACCCAGACCTGTAGGCTTCCAGAGTCTGGGTTGTACTGGCCTCAGACTTTGGGGGACTTTGGGGGACCTTGGGGGTCCAGCTGCACTTGCTCACGTCCACACCAGTGAGAGTCAGTTTACCGTGCTTCCACTGCTGGCGGCACCGGCAGCAGGGGCATCGCTTTGGATTAACTCACTGGCTTTCAAAGTGGGCTGCAGAGACAGAATCACTTGGAGCAGTGGCCAGGGAGCCTCCGTTCCCGCCGGAGCCCTGGCAGCCCTTTTGGGCCCAGTTTTACCACTTGGCTTTGCCAGTCCGAGTTCACTCAGAAAGGGAACCCAGGTGCTACCCGATTTGGGAATCCCGAGGCCACAGTCCGGGGCCCCGGTAGGAACTCAGGGAGCTGCTGCCCATCCGCTGCCTGCTGCCCACCCCGAAGCCCAGTCTTGGACAGTCCAAGCAGAGGAGCAGGCCCCGAGGAAGCCCGGCAGGCAGGAAGATGGGCCTCCAGCCCGGGACAGGGCTAAAAGGGCCGGTGTGGGGGAGGGGAGGTGTGAATCACCCTGGCAGTGGCGACCTGAGATCCGCAAAGTGGGCATGGTTGTGGCCTTCGGGCTGGCCCCCAGGAGTTTCTTGCAGCAGAATAAAAAGGACAGGACAGGGCAGGGCAGGATAGGACAAGGACACTGGCCCAGACGGATGGACCTTTATGTCACTTCTGTACACACCTAGTAGGGGCCAGATGACATGAATTTCTTAGTCATTGACAAAATTCGTGAAAGCCACTGTTTCAGGGCAGCTCGGGAATTACTCAGCTTTCTCACCCAGGGTTGATTTTCCAAATATGGACCAAGAGCAGAGACAGACAGACAGGCCTGCGTGCTCAGGAAACGCACAGGCGGGTGGTGAGACAAACAGTGAGAACTGTGTCGGTGAGAGAGAGACAGACAGACAGACGGAGAGACAGAAAGACAGGGAGAGAGAGAGGGCCAGCTGTGGGGCAATGCTGTTCCAGGCAGGCAGAACAGCAGGGACGTCTGCACCGGGGCTGTTCAGAGCAGGGCTGCAGGGTGAGGTGCCAGCCAGGGGCACACGCAAGCCCAGGGGAGCAGGAGGCAGCGTGAACCCCAAGGGGCCTAAAGACCTGAGTGTGTGCTTGGGATTAGAGGTGCCCTCGTGGGGCAGTGGAGACTGAGGTTTCTCCCCAGGTGGGGTACAGGGACAGGTGGTGCTGCTGGTCCTGGGGAGCTACGGAGCGTGCCTGAGCCCTCGAGGGCTGTGCTGTGCGGAAGACAGAGTTCTCCCGGGGGAGCTAATGATGTTCACCTCCTCCTGGGACCCGCTGAGACCTCCTCCCCCGCCCGTGGGTCCCTCACCCGTCCACACTAGTGTCCCCTCCTCCCCAGGGAGCACTTCTGATCCTCCCTGAGCACAGCCGTTTATTTTAGAGGTCAGGAGATGGGGAAGGGGACAGACAAGGGCCCCCTCACGCCTCCCCGGCCATGCAGTGTCACCCCAGTCCTCCACCTCCAAGTGGGGACCCCACTAAATATACCCCTGGCTTAGCACCCGGCAGGAGAGTCCAGGGCCTGAGCCGGGACTGGGCAGGGGCTGGGGAGCCCCCTTTTCCTCCAGGCTGAAGCTTTCTGTTGCCAAGGCAACCCAGGCCAGGCACAGCCTCTGATGGGAAAGGGTGGGGGAGGGTGGCTCAGGGGCCAGCGGCCAGGCCTCCTGTGACACGCTGGTCCGCAGCCCCGCCTCTGGGTCTCTGTCCTTCACTAGGGCTGCTGCCGGGACAACAGCTGAATGGCTGGGATGGCAGAAGGCGCCCTGCCCGGGGCTGGAGGCTGGGACTCCCACCTCCAGGAGGTGGCCTGTTGTCCGCCTGTCCTCCCGTCACCCTCCCTCTGCCGGGCGCCTGTGTGCAGGTCTCCTCCTCCTGGGAGGACGCCCCCCTGTTGGATGGGGCCACCCTAATGACCTCATTTCCTCTCAGGCGCCTTGTGAAAGAGCTCGGTGTCCAGGGGCAGCCCGTTCCCAGTGCTGGTGGGACCTCAGCCCAGGAAGCGAGGTCTCTGTGGGTCCCCTCCCCGAGTCTCAGCCTCCACCTCTCTCTGGCTCTGCGCCCCTCCTTTTCCGCCTCTCCCCATCTTCTCTTGCCCCCCACCCTCGTGGGCCCCCTGCTTGGGTGACTGAGCAAATGACCTCAAGCCTCAGTTTCCCCCTCTGACAAACAGCTGTGATGACCCCCTCTCACAGGTGCGGGCTCAGCAGGGCTGACAGGCTGCACCTGTGTTAAAATCGTCACATGTGATCGAAAGCGCTGGGAGTGGGGGCACGGGGAGGCCCAGAGCCACACAGCCCAGCGTGCCCACCTGGCCACGGGTTTTTCCACTCGATACTACTGGGTGAGCAGCCAGCTGGCAGCCCAGGCCCGGGGGCCAAGCAGGGGCGGGAGGACCCGCCTGTCTCCCAAGAGGTCAGCGTCCAGCGCTTTGGAGTGCAGCTGTGGGGCAGGGGAACCAGCCTCAGAGTTTCCACCCACGTGGTAGGTGGGCGGTGGAGGGACAGCTGCGGCCCGTCCCGATTTCCTGAGGCATCTGCTCGGGCTCTCACTTGCTGTGTGACAAAACTGTGTCCGTTGCCCTCTCTGGTCCTCAGTTCTGGCAGCTTGTGAGAGGAGGCTGGTGACATAGATCACTGTCCAGCATGAACATTTCCAAGTCAGTGTCGCCAGCCTCCCCAGAGTGACGTCAGGCAAGTTTGCAGCCCTCTGGGTCCCTCGTTGAGTCTGAGAACCTTTTCCTGTTTACTGGCTCTAAGTGGTTCCTCCTTTTGCCAATGACTTGTTTATCTCTCTTGCTTAAGCCTCTCTGGGCTGTTTATGGCTCCCTCATTGATTCTGCAAGGCTCTTGGCAGTCAGAGTGTTAACTCTTTGTCTGGCTTTCCCGTGGGCCACATCTTTTGATTTTCCCATATGCTTGTGTGTCTGTCTTTCATTAATCAATTAGAACCTATTAATTGAGCAGCTACTTTCGAGGCCACAGTAGAGAACCGTAGCTCACATCCCCGTGGGGGACAAACGAGGCATAAAAAAAGAAATTCTACAGTGTGGGAGAGAAGAGTACCTGTTAACAAATCAGGAAGGGGAAGGGTGTAGGAAGTGACAGAGAGCCGTTACTTTATTTCTTTAAATGAATGCAATTTTAAATACAGATACCATTTGAGCATAGATGAATCAAAATTGAAAAGCAAGCCATAAGGCTGGGGATGTGGCTCAGTGACAGAGTACTTGCCTAGCATTGTGAGGCCCTGGGCTCTATCCCCAGTACTGCAAAAATAAATAAAAGTTAGAAATAGCAGCCCCCCCACCAAAGAGCTGGGAGATGAGCATCCTAGAGTCAGGAGCAGCTTGTGCAAAGGCCCTGTGGCTGGGAGATGAGCATCCCAGAGTCAGGAGCAGCTTGTGCAAAGGCCCTGTGGCAGAAACTTCCAGTCTTATGTGTTGAAGAAGGCTGATGGGGCCCACTTGGCTAGGAGAGAAAATCAAAGATAGCAAGAGGCCCAGTGGCCCAGGGCCCGGCAGAGTGAGGTGGGGACTTTGGCTCATATCCAGGAAAAACAGAAGGCACAAGCTAGAGAGGGACATGTGTGACCGTTGTAACAGGCTTGTCTGAACCCTGCAAAAAGTCTGCAGTCCACCAAAGCAGCAGACAGTGCAGAGGCAGACCTTGTTGGTGGGGAGGTATTTTCCTTTATAAGTTTCTTGTATACTTTTGTTGAAAAGAATTCCCATTTTGTTTTGCAAGTTCTTCTGTAGTTTAAAAATCCTAATGCACCTAAAGCAAGGTACAGCCCTAGCTGTCTTCCCTTCCCTGGCCCCAGCAGCCCTGCCCAGCCCCCCTCGCTTTTCCTGGCCCCCGTGGTTTGGGTGGTTCAGCTCCGCTCACCGCAGGGTCAGACCCCACGCTGCTCCCGGCCACAGCCCCCACCTGAAGCACTTCCCGCCCGCTCCCTGGGGGGGCAAACCACACACCCTGACCCACCACGTGGCCGCTGGACCGTGGGAACTGCCAGCCCTGCCCTCCCCACCCTGCCTGGCTCCCAACAGACCCAGAGAGAGGGAGGCACAGAGCCCTCAGCCCTCCCAATAAAGCTGCACCCCCAAAGCCAGCCACCTCTACAGTGTCTCAGTGGGGTTTTGTGCCCTGCGCTCCCCAGGAGGTGGGTGGGGGGCAGGAGAGGGTGGTCCCATGGGGCAGCGAGGAAACAGACCCAGGGAGGCTGCAGGGCATGGCTGGCAGTGCCAGAGAGCACTGGTGCAGGGGAAGGGGAAGTGAGCAGAGCCCAGAGGCAGCTGGGGATGGCCACGGGGCGCCCGGGGTCTGCGCCCTCCCCTGGGGCTTGATGCAACATCCTGCAGGTCTCTGTGGGAGGCGGGGGGGATGTGACCCCAAGCAGGGTCTCCCGGAGGAGAGGGGCAGGGACCCAGCCACAAGGTGCAGCGGGCGTGGAGGGGACAGGACACACAAGCAGGACCGGGAGAAGGAGAAAGTGGGGGCGAGGAGCCCCTAAGCACCGCTGTACTTCCTTCCCCCCATGACGTG